TACAAATATAGAGACTGCATGGCTCACAATGTATGCATTTCTTTGAGAATGAAGTAAAGCAGAGCAAAAGTAAAAGTTGTTGGCACCCCAATCATCATTGATCTGACATTTTATTACAATATTTATGTATCTCATTTTTAATGTAATTAATTGTATGTTCATTTCGGGTAATGTTTTTGTTCCCGATCATTTGTTTGTCTTTTACTTTTAATAAATACTTTACTGATTTTAAAAAGATTTGGTAGAAAATGAGGAGAGGGCACCAGGAATCTTCATTATTTTGTAGATTCAGACACAACCGACAAAACGTTTTCATTCTCAGATCCATTAAGCAGCTTCAATCCTCAGCAGATGAACTATGGGCATTTTTAAATGATTGCTTAATGTTGCAAAATAAGGCATTTTTCTGGAGTGTAATATAAACTATCGCAGGTACCTGAGTTAAAAGAAAAGCCGCATTTATCCTGCATGTCTATCACTGTTTTCAATGTTTTAAGGCAGATCTGAATGTCAACTAGCAANATGCAAACTCCAAACAGAAGGGCTCCCCCACCCTTGATTTGAGCCAGGAGCCCTCTTCCAGAGAGGCGACAATGCTAATCACTGCGTCACTGTGCTGCTTCGGTTAAAGGGATAGTTTGATATTTTGGCAAATTTGCCTATTGCCGTAACCCCTACAGTCATATGAGTAGGTACATTACCTTTAATTATCAGTGCCTGTTGTTCTGAGATCGATGGGGCAGAGCTGACCGCTGCTTGGTGCACAAAATGGAGGTGAACGGTACAGCCCCCTCTCTTCCTCAAAACTAATCAAATACACCATCAAATGACTCCAAAACGCTCTTGTGGACAACATGTAGCTTACAAATTCACCACACTATAAAATAATAATGTAATATTACAAGACAGAGTTGTTTTGAAGCCAAATGCACAGCCGGAACTACAGTACATTCCAGACATACAGTACTTGCTGGGCGGAGTGATTTCAAACAGTGTATGTTTTGTGCAGTTACTCCCGTCATCAAAACAACTTTGTTGAGAAGAAGCCAGAATATACAGAGGAAGAGTTACAGGTTTTGGAAGCAGAGAGAGCAAGAAGAGAGGCTGAGGCTGCCGAGCAACCAGGGGCTGAGGGGAGACCCAGAGCCGGCATGGATTGGTGGTGTAAATGTGGGGCTTACTGGCCACTTTATTAGGTACACCTGTGCAATCTAATACAATGCAATACAACAGCTCTGCCACACATTCTACGTTTACAAAGCTTTTACGTTTTCAGTTTTTGTTGACATTGTCAGAAAGGTGATTATTCTACTTTATCATTGAGGTTGTAGTGGGTGGTGTTGGTGTACTGGAGTGCAATATATTGAAAAGTGTTCCTAATATTTTTGTCTCCCTTAATTAGACAAAATTAGGAGGCCACCCCAGTACACCACCACCACCATTCACTATGACCTCAATAATAAACAAAGTAGAATCATCACTTTCTAGACAATGTCAACAATAACCGAAAATGTATAAGCTTCGGGAAAAAAATCATGGTATAGCCGTTCTACTGGATTGCATGGAATTACATAGGTGTACCTAACAAAGTGGCCAGTGACTGTATGTTACATACATATGTTGATGGTGGGATGGGACGAGAGTATGCCTCAAAATAATCACCGGAACACGGGGAGAACATGCTAACTCCACACTCATAAATCACCACAACTCCTGAGGGAACAACAACATAAAATGTTCCCTAGCAGAAGGCGTTTGAGCCACTCCTGAGCTTCTGCGCTCCATCCTTTCACTGTAGTCCTCAGGTTAAAAAATGGTTGGAGCGAACATTTTCCAGACCATTTCCACAGGCGTGTTGGGGTCGATGTCCAGCACAAATAGCCATTGTTTCATCCTGTCCGTATTTTTGGTTGGTACTACGTGAAACTTCACTCTGCTCCATGTCTTCGGCTTGTTACCACAGCCTTTTACAATACATGTGTAAACCATGATTTACAACAACACCTGACGATACTGCAAATGCAAGGCTGCAAGCAGTAACAACGGCACTGTCTCAGGTGCGCACTGTGTCACTCCGCCCAGTGGTTTACTCAAGAAAGTAGTTCCGAGTATTTGCTTCATGTGTCGTAATGTTACTTAATAATACATTATTATTTCATAGCGTGGGGAATGCGCAAGTCATGTATTTTCCACTAGAGCGTTTCATTTGATGGTGTATTTGATTAGTTTTGAGGGAAAGAGGGAGCTGTACCGTTCACCTCCATTTCAGCGGGCAGCTCTGCCCCACCGATCTCAGAACAGCAGGCACTGACAATTCAAGGTAATGTACCTTCTCATATGACTATAAGGATTACGGCAATAGGCGAATCTGCCAAAACGTCGAACTATCCCTTTAAATTTAGTGGTCAAACTTATAACTAACTAACTTATTTATTTGAATTCCAGAAATGTCAAAAATTTTGATGAACTTCTTAAATTAAGTTATAAACTGACTAAAACACTTGAATAAAACGTGTCATTTTTTATCACATGTAAAAAAAAACTTCAGTCCATTAAAATGAGGGCAGATTCTTGAAAGCCAGAGCTGCACAAAGCTAATATGTGCTGTTACTTGTTGATATATAACTAAGATATATATTTTATTTTATATAGTATAGTAGTATATAGTATAGTTAATTTTATATTAAGATCTTTTACAGAAAAACTTAGGATCCTCTTCTCTACAGGTGATATGAGGCATTTACTACATTTCACTTCTTAATTAGAAGAAGAAATTCATACACCAACGTTTTAGGCTTTTAATTAAATTCTTCTAGATGGTTTATTACATTTATGAATGACATGTCTGTAGCTGTTACAATTTTTATAACATTTTTGCTGGAACAGTATTTAATGGGCTTATACTTGATCCATTTAAAAAGGTCTGTATTGGTATTATCAGATTGATAGATGTATTTTGAGCACTGAGCTAAAAAATGTACATTTTATGTAACACAATAATCAATCTTCATTCCCAGGAGGACTTGTACATTTCTTTAGGGGAAACATCAGCAACAAATGTAATTCTAATTCCAACCATCTCTACCAGCCCTGTTTATGAGCTGCTGGAATGCAAAAAGAAGAATGCTAATGAAATACTGACAGAGAGACATTTAAAGAGAGAACTCCATGTAGTTTGATGACATTGGTGCTGTGTTTCAGCTGTGTGTGTAAACACAAAGTGTTACATGACTCGTATATTTAGTAATGACCACAATGTATCACACAGCAAATTTGGGAAGTGATGAGAAATCCAGGGAAGTGGTTAAAATGTTACCTCAGTGCATAATACAGTGTTGTAATAGTGGCATTTGTGTTTGTATCATAGTACAGTTTGTGTGTTGTGTTTGAATTTAAAGTTAATGTGTGTGTGTTTTTAAATGTATGTGTTTCATTCAAATGTTGCTGTTAGATGTGTTTGTTTTCAAGATTTTTTTTATTTTTTGCTTTTTTATTGCAAGACATTAATTCTGTCCGAATCCATCTACTGGTGTTGATCAATTTACATGACACAAGACAGTGTGAGAAACATTACTGCGTCTTTGTCTCTGCTGTTAGGAAAGAGTGACCAAATGTAGCTTTCCACTAACATTACATAACATGTACAGTGTGGTTGCAGACGATTGCAGACACATCCCGTGGATAATAACCACCTGTAGTTGACTCCCACAGCTCCTTCATCAAGTAAAAAATGTGTCATGTTTGTTATGCAGACCAACACTTGCTATAAAGGTGGTTAGAAAGTAAACAGACTTTAATGTTTTCATAAATTCACCTGCATATTTCAGTAATAAAGATGCTTAAGACAAAATTAATTCATATTTGGATTTTGTGATTTGACTTCTGAATAAAATTGCAAAGCACAAATGACTCCAGGGAAGTACTCTTGTAACCTGTCAGAACTTTGAATTTAAAATGTAAGGTGACAGGATTTTGTTCATAATGACATGAAACAACATGTCTGTGTGTGCAAGAGAAAGACTGGCTCAGTAAAATGTGAGGATCAAATAGGCTCTCACTCACTCACTCATCCCAAAAACACCCAAACAAAATACAAATATAGAGACTGCATGGCTCACAATGTATGCATTTCTTTGAGAATGAAGTAAAGCAGAGCAAAAGTAAAAGTTGTTGGCACCCCAATCATCATTGATCTGACATTTTATTACAATATTTATGTATCTCATTTTTAATGTAATTAATTGTATGTTCATTTCGGGTAATGTTTTTGTTCCCGATCATTTGTTTGTCTTTTACTTTTAATAAATACTTTACTGATTTTAAAAAGATTTGGTAGAAAATGAGGAGAGGGCACCAGGAATCTTCATTATTTTGTAGATTCAGACACAACCGACAAAACGTTTTCATTCTCAGATCCATTAAGCAGCTTCAATCCTCAGCAGATGAACTATGGGCATTTTTAAATGATTGCTTAATGTTGCAAAATAAGGCATTTTTCTGGAGTGTAATATAAACTATCGCAGGTACCTGAGTTAAAAGAAAAGCCGCATTTATCCTGCATGTCTATCACTGTTTTCAATGTTTTAAGGCAGATCTGAATGTCAACTAGCAACAGTCTGTTAATTTTTTTTTTTAGCTATAAGCAAGACAACTGTAAAAACACAAAACACAAAATTAAACACATGAAATTTGCACAGGATTCTGAAACATATATACTAGTCATAATTTTTATGATAAATGTATTAATTGTTGTTATTCTATTTTATGAAAATTTTCCCAGGCAGAGTGTGTTACACTTAAATAATGTGTCATGCCATCAATATTACAGTGTCTTGTTTTGGGAAACTTTTTTGTTGGGTGAGTAATCAACGCACAACTTCCTCTCTTATCCTTAAAAGGAATATTGAGTCACTGACTCTGGGGTGTAGTTGCTCAATATGCCCTGTCCTCAGCCTATATAACAGCTGCCTGCAGCTGAGAAACACAGGTTGTATTTGAGAAAACATGAAGACTTTCAATCTGTGCATTCTATTAAGCCTGGCAGTCACAGTTTACTGTGTGCCATTACAGCAGGTTACTGCGCAAGATGAGAACTTTGCAGAGGTATGTATTCTTACTTTGTCTTTTCTGCACATATTCTTACTATTTTGCATTATAGTGCATGTGAAAACTTTAATGTTCTAGGAATTCTGAATGTCACACTAGAGCTGTAATAGCTTTCTGCATTGTAACCAACCCTCTTCCTATATAGAGTATAATGTGCTCTCTGCAACTGATGCATAATTGAGAATCAAACTCCTGTCCTATCTTGCAGAACTACTTGAAGAAATTCTTCAACCTAACAGAGGAGAGAGGTCCAACTATCAGACGGGGGATCAGCCCAGTGAGCAGGAAGCTGAGTGAGATGCAGAGATTCTTTGGTCTCCAGATTACCGGGATGCTTGACGCTGACACGTTAGAGACGATGAAGAAGCCCCGCTGTGGCGTTCCGGACAGCAACATTGCCCATTTCTCCACTTTTGGAAATAATCTGAAGTGGGAGAAAAACAACCTTACCTACAGGTGAAGGATCTGAAGAGAGAAAGAGTATGAAAGAATAACTGTAGTAAATCTAACTAATAATATCCTTTACTATTTTCTGTCCTGCAGGATAGAGAACTACACACCTGACATGTCTCAGTCAGAGGTAGATGACTCTATAGAGAAAGCACTGCAGGTTTGGGCCAAAGTCACTCCTCTGAGATTCACAAGAATCTACAGTGGCACGGCTGACATCATGATCTCATTTGGCCGTCAAGGTGAGTACAGAATTTTTCCAGTTATATACTCTGTCTGTGCTCAGTTTATTTGTTATGATTTTCCACGAAGCATCATTGCTTTAACTAAGTGTTTTCTGCATCTGGAATCACATTGGAGAGCTGATCAATTGTAGCACTAAGATGCTTTTAGGAAAAAACCAAACCAAAAAAAAACAACAACATTTTTTAAACACTAATTTCGTTAATGGCTTGTAGTTGTATTTGTTTGCAAAACTTGACATGAGTGTGTTCTTGTTAACAGCACATGGTGATTATTACCCCTTTGATGGCCCTGATGGAACTCTTGCCCATGCCTTCGCACCAGCCCCTGGCATCGGAGGAGATGCTCATTTTGATGATGACGAGACCTTCACTTTCCGCTCTAACACAGGTCAGTTTGTTAGTAATACACAGCATAGTGTGTCTTTTACTCACTAACTGCTGTCAGTGACATGATCTAATCATGGAGAGGAGCTATAACTGACCTGTCATTCTGTGTTTTCTGCTGTAGGCTACATCCTCTTCATGGTGGCTGCCCATGAGTTTGGCCACTCCCTGGGCTTGTCTCACTCTAAAGATCCTGGTGCTCTCATGTACCCTGTGTACACATACAGAAACCCAGACACCTTTGTTCTGCCCCGTGATGATGTCAACGGCATCCAGTCTCTCTATGGTCCGTACTGACTGGCTGGATCATTAATGCCTGTTTGCACAAAGAGCACTCTGTCTGACAATCTCTTGCATAGTCTATTGTAATAATAATAATAATGATAACAATAATTACTATTATTATTATTGTTATTATTATTATTATTACTTTATTGTTGTAATGAAATTTTGGTTTCATTTAACCCCCAGGTGCAAACCCTGATAAGGATCCATCTGTAGAGGAACCTAGGCCTCCAACTACCCCTGATGCCTGTGATTCAACCATGACCTTGGATGCTGTGGCCACCCTGCGAGGAGAGATGCTCTTTTTCAAAGACAGGTAGCCTATTGTAGACATACAGATTGCTCAGATATCTGGGGTCCATGAAGAATTTGTCTCTTGACACAAGATCTGACACATGAACATGAACATGAACTAATAAATGGTCTTTTTTTTTTTAAAGATATTTTTTGGGGCATTTTTGCCTTTAATTGAAAGGACAGCTTAAGTGTGACCACAGGCTGGAGTCGAACCTGTGCCACTGCGGCAACAGCCTTGGGAGCCTGCTCTATCCACTAATCCACCAACGCCCCTAATAAATGTTCTTGTTGTGTTCTCAGCTTCTTCTGGCGGAGCTACCCTCAGAGCAATACACCTCAGCAAAGTCTCATCACAAACTTCTGGCCCAATGCTCCCACCAACATCAATGCCGCTTATGAAAGCCAACAGTCAGACAAACTCTTTCTCTTTAAAGGTATGTGTTTTCCTTATCTACCCAAGTCTTTAATGTGACACAAATTTCAAGCCTTCATTATTTACATTTACATACATTTTAATCTCTGTACAGATCAAAGAGTATGGGCTTTCAGTGCCTATGATCTTGAACGTGGCTATCCCAAATCAATTTCCAGTTTCGGTCTGCCCAGAAGCGTGAAGAAAATTGATGCAGCACTTTATGATGTTGAATCTGGCAAGACTCTGTTTTTCGTAGGCAGCAATTACTACAGGTGAGTTCAAATAAGGTGATGTGAAATTATTGAAGGGACTGGATTAGATATGATGATGGTTTACAAGGTGGTGAATCAGTCTAATTACTGTCTGTGTTTTCTCAGTTATGATGAGGCCACAAAGAAGATGGACCAGGGATTCCCCAAGAGAGTGGATCAGACTTTCTCAGGCTTGACTGGCAAGGTGACTGCAGCTTTCCAGTACAGAGGCAAGTAACAAAGTTTGTCCAGTCAAGATTACAAGATTACTTAAATGAGAAAAAGGTTGCAGAGAAACTAATACTAAGCATCTGTTCTGCAGGTTTCACTTACATCTACAGTGGACCCTACATGTTTGAGTATAGCTTGAGGACTGGGAGGTTGTTCCGTGTGCTGAGGAACAGCTACTTCCTGCGCTGCACTAACTACTAGAGCAGTTTACCAGCTAAGCTGTTTATGTCACCAATCTGAATGACAATAAGGGCAACAGAGTTAAAGTGTCCATAATAATACATCTAACAATTAATAATAATATTGTTATGGTATGTTTTATGGTATGGCTTTTTATTTTTATTTTTTTTTAGATAATTTAACATTATTTGATGTTAGTTTATTTATGTCATCTTCATAATTTAATTATTGCTTTTATTTTTGTTGCAGTATTTTTAATTTTGACTTTAATGTAGTTAAGCTGTAGAATTTTGGAGCTAATACATAAATTAATTTTGAAACATTGTTACAACTGTGCATGTCTACACAGCTTTATTCACCACTGTGACAAAATTAATGTATGCCAATGTTTAAAAAAACAAACAAATGTGACACAGTGATACAAATTAGCACCTAAAATGAGCAAATTAAAGTTGTTTAAATACATTTTAAGTATGTTCTGTTGTTATTTTGCAGATGTAGATCAAGAGATAATGTCATGATTGCCAAGATAGTTTCAGTTTCAGACAACTTTATTTATGCCAAATGGGCAATTCATTTGCAGCTTTCCTTATTTATTTATTTTTTTTTTGAATATTTTATTTTCAATTTTCCATTTTAACAAGACATACACAGCACAGAAAATACACACAGACATGGCTCCAAATCCATCTCCTGTCCCGAAGGCATACAAACTAAGAGAGACCTAACTAATAGGTAATAGGTAATAGGTAATACTCAAAAAAATAAATAAATACTACAAATTAAAGAAAATAATAAAATAAATCAAAATAGAATAAATAAACACAACCATATGAGAGGCAATGTAAATATGGCTTATTCAGACAACTAATGACGTATCAGTCCATTAACATTTTTATACAAAATCTGACAAAGGTGTTGGTAAAGTATCAACATAGGTCAAGTATGGCTGCCAAATCTTCAGAAAGGAGTCATATTCATTTCTTAGATTGTACGTGATCTTTTCAAGTGGGATGCATCGGTTCATTTTCAAATACCTAGCAATGGGGAGACAGGAATCAGACTTCCAGGTCAATGCTATGCACTTCCTGGCAATGCACAAAGCTATCTCCAAAAACCTCTTCTGGAAGTTCCTTAAGTGCATGCCAATGGTTGTAAAATTCACCAACAGGCAAATTTGTGGTCCCAATGGGAAATTAACACACACACGAAAACGGAGAGAGATACCCATGATGGAAAAACAGCCCCAAATGTGACGGAGACAACAGCTGGGAGAGGAAGCGCTTGTCGACCAGCGTGGAGAAATGCGCGTCTGATGTGAATGGGCTCGTGAGAATTTCGGTGCACTGCGCTTCGCAGCACTTCGTTGGCAGTGTGGCCCTGGCCTAACTAGGGGCTGGTACAAGGCAAGCCTGAGCCGGCCCTAACTATAAGCTTTATCAAAGAGGAAAGTCTTAAGTCTTAAATGTGAAAACAGTGTCTGCCTCCCAGACTGCAACAGGAAGATGATTCCTCAGGAGAGGAGCCTGATAGCTGAAGGTTCTGGCTCCTGATCTACTTTTGGAGAATTTAGGCACCATGAGAAACCCTGCATTCTCAGAGTGCAGTGTTCTGGTGGGATAATATGGCACTATGAGCTCTCTAAGATATGAAGGAGCTTGACCATTTAGAGCTTTATAAGTTAACAGTAGGATTTTAAAATCAATTCTGGATTTTACAGGAAGCCAGTGCAGAGAAGATAAAACAGGAGAAATATGATCTAGTTTCTTAGTTCCTGTTAGTACACGTGCCGCTGCATTCTGAATTAGCTGGAGAGTTTTTAAAGACTTACTAGAGCTACCTGATAATAGGGAGTTACAGTAATCCAGCCTAGAGGTAACAAAAGCGTGGACCAATTTTTCTTCATCTTTTCGGGTCAGGATAGGCTTAATTTTCGCAATATTACGCAGATGAAAAAACACAGTCCGTGAGGTTTGTTTTAAATGAGAATTAAAAGACAAATCTTGATCAAATATTACTCTGAGGTTTCTTACGGTAGTGCAAGAGGCCAGAGCAATGACATCTAGAAACTATGTCAACAGATAAAGAGTCTCTGAGTTGTTTGGGGCCAACAACAATAACTTCAGTTTCGTCTGACTTTAATATGAGGAAATTGGTGCTCATCCACGTTTTTATGTCTTTAAAGAGGCAACAGATAGGATTCAGGTTTTTTTAGCTTGGCGCCACCTAGCATCAGCGGTGTTGCTCACACTATCGCAACGACCAAATTGACCGTGGGGATGAGAGATAATCAATAAAATGTAGGCTGTAAAGCCACCAGTATACCTCTATGTATATGTAGAATGAGAAGGTGTGTGGACACTATACTAAATAAATGAGTAAAGAGACCGAGCAACAATTATCAGATATATCTGAAGAAAAAACAAATAGTAATGCAAATAATTATACCAGAATGCACAGTACCAGTACAAACAAATCACAGTAAATAATACAAATATGTACAGTATCAGTACAAACAACAGTAGACACGTAAAGGATAATGTATAGTGAGCCGGTGACTGTTGAAAAATAACTCCAATAGGGAAATGGAACCCTGACGCACAGCGGAGTTATTTTTCAACAGTCACCGGCTCACTATACATTATCCCACTTAGAATATGGCTTACTACTAAAACATTCAAATATTACAACTGGCATCAATATTATTAAATTGCTGGCAGAGTGTATTGACAGAGGAGAGGCGTTCACCAGACAAACAGGAGCGGAGGAGAGGATTTTACTCCACTTCTCCCAGTCGGAGATGCTGGGTACCCAGTAGTTGCGAGGGCTGCCTTCACATTTATGGCCAGTGACCGACATGATCTCCCTGCTCTCCAGGACAGCTTGGGAGAGCTGTGTGGACTAACGTTAACTGATTTAGATGCTCCTCAGTCTAAGGTCATTGCAGTGAAAAGTCCAGTGTTCACAGCTGGGAGTAACAATCCGTGTAAATCCATTTATCATTCGTTCATTCGTTTTTCAAAATAAAACCAAATATAAAAAAAAAATAATGACTTGTTTTTTCAATATTTGTTTCCAGAACCAAAATGAAAAAAACGGATAACGACTCAATCCGTGTACCCTTCGTTCTTTCGTTTTTCCGTTTCAAAACCAAATAAAAAAAAAAAACGAAAAACAACTTTGTTTTTCGGTTATTCTGTTTTAAAACCAGAATGGAAAAACGGAAAAACAGAATAACACAAAATCACACATTTGTGCCTGTTAGTCTGTTTTAAAACAAAAACAGAATAACGTGAAAATTAAGTTTTTGATTTTTATTGTTTTGTTATTGTGATATTCGGAAATTTCGGGGAATGCTGGGAGATTTGCGGAGTTGGAGGCGGCAGTGAGCGAGAACGTGGAAATCAAGATGGCAAGCTTTGTCTTTTTCCAGGGGAATCGGCGGCTCAGTCTAAGGGCTGAAGACCTTTCCACGGAGAAAGTCTCCAGTCTCCTGATTATTCAGGTAATACCGTATGCTATATTTTTTAACATTATAACTTAGGCTACATTAACCATAGGCCTATATATAGTGTGGTTATAGTTAACGTTATTGCTAATGTAGGCTAAGCAGCTCCATTCTAGATTGCTAGCATTTAACTCTGGGTAAAGATGATGAAAAAGTGTTGATCACTGTTTCCCATCGATTTGGGTCATTTTTGGTCTCACGTAGAGCTGCCGTGACGCCTAATGTCTGATAGGACTGTCTGTTTTTTGACTGATGGGTTACTAACGTTACACTAACAGCTAGTTGAGCTCACACAGTCAGTCAGTCATGGATATACGAAGATACGGTAGTTTGTTGTTGTTTTTTCATCGGTAAAGAAGTGAAGCAGTGGGAAAACAAGGTGTGTAAACATGTGAGCATTTTATGTGAGCTGAGGTCCTACAGATTAGATGACGTCATTCTGCATAATAATGAGCCATATGCTTCTGTTTGTTTGAGAAACGATGGAAGATTCAATGTGAACGATAGACAGATGAAGAAAGATACATTTGCCTCAGAGTAGATACATTTCTGTTTTTTTTAGTTGTAGTGGTTGTGAAATAATTTTATAAACATCATATCTAAGCTGAGCTCTGTCTTTTAACTGACCAAACAGCAGCCGCAGTAGTCTCTCTCTCTCTCTCTCTCTCTCTCTCTCTCACTCACACACACACACAGAGCATAAGCTGTGTTTTCTATTTGATTTGTCCTGACCTACAACTAATGATTATTTTCATTATGAATTAATCTGTTAGAAAGTGGTGAAAAATGTTGATCACTGTTTCCCAAAGCTCAAGGTGACATCCTCAGATGTCTACCCTGAACTGATGTCCACCTTACATTACTTTAATGGCAGTAAGATGATATTAATTCTAGGGTGATTTTTTTCTGTATATCATCATGCTGAAATCAACTGTAAATCCACATTTTAAAGCTGATATTTGAAAAAAAATCTTTGCATCCTTGTCACCTTTTTCACCCCTGGCAAGTTTGCATCCCTGCTGTATATGTTAATGCTCCAGCTTGTTATTTATAGCCTATAAGTTGTCTCGGACTATTTACACATCCTCTGTGTTAATGTAGGCTACTTGTAGGTTGTCCTATTTCTCTCTTGTATGAGTTTTAATTGATTTAAAACTGTTTATTTCCAGGTCCGTGCTCATTCACTATCTGACAGATGACCACAACCGTGGAATACTGCCAGGGCCAGATGGCATTTTCAGCCCAAGTGACCTGGTACACGGTGGGCACTATGAGGTGCATGGGGAGGGGAGCAATGATGAAGGTGGACCTAGCTGGCAGGGCCAAAATAGGTTTGCCTTTCACCGCCCACCTAGTGCATCCAGTGCCTCAACACCTCTGGCTGTACCCAGAGCACCTGGACCAAAGTTGTTGCAAAGGTAAATGCCCAGAGTGCTTGAGCCAAAGTTGTTCTGTTACTATTACTTATTATAATACTTATAATCTGTCAATAATATGTATTGTGTTGGAATGTCAAAGTATAACATAACTTGAAAGATGGCATATTGGGCAGTACAAATAGCCCTAAATGCTTTCTTTACATCCATAGGAATGTCTTAATAGCAGAGGTGGTGGAGGGGAAGCCTAAGACCAGGAAATCCGTCACTGTCTGGTTTTCAGAACTGGAATGTTCTGTGGGCTCTATAACAGCAAAAGTGGCCGAGGCCCTGGGACAAGAAGAGTGGATTGTGCTGATAGACAGCCATGGAAATGAAATCATGGACTGTGAAGGCACCAGAGGTACAAACATAACATTTTTTAAAATAATAATTTCAAGTTGTCAAGAGCATATTGAATTGTATTAGTCAATTGTACTTATCAATGTGTCCTTTCTTAAGATTCACAGTGTCTTTGAATTGGATCTTTTATTCATGTTACCTTTAAATAATGTAATACTTGTTCACCATGTATACTGCAC